CTTCCCTTCCTTAATCCAAATAAGTACTCTTGATCATAGCTTGAGCCATAGTGGATTATGAGAAAAATGAGAAGATTGCTGTTTGAGAACTTAACAAATTGTATAATAGTATTGAGCTTGATGTCAGATTTATGTTTTAGTTTGTTTGTTTTTAATTCATGACTTAGATGCCTTCTGAGAGGACACATTACAGTTTATTGCAGTTTATGGTTTAGCTCTCTGGTGGGCAAACTTTATAGTGGAAACACTTGGAAACATTATTTAAGAACTCCTTTGCATACTGGCTGTAATATATCCTTAATATAGATTATACTGGTTAGTGTTTGACAGCTGATTTATCAGTCAGTCTTATTGCTTGCTTTAACTTTGCTTGCTTGATTTACAGTTTTCAGTTTGTTTGTTTTTTAATAGTTTGACCATTACACTCTCACCTCTTGGTAGTAGAGCTATGTAGAATATTTTTCTAAGTGATAGGAACATATGAAAGTACATCCCTGACTATGAAAAATGCAGACATTCAAAAATTAAATTGGTGTCAGAAAGAGATTTTGCATTATATTTAATGTAAGTATTCCAAGTTTGTTGTAAGACTTGCTGTATTCCAAGCTGGGACTTGCTGCTGATAGACAGATATTTTGTTACACACGATCAGCTTTTACTCACCACTGCTTTTACTGTCATATTTTAACAGGTGTGAGCAACACTGCCTTTCGTCAGCTGATGGAGTTCACATACACAGCCACACTAGCTGTAGCTGGTGAAGAAGAGGCATATGATGTCTGGAAAGCAGCTGAGTATTTACAGATGCAGGAAGCCATCAAAGCGCTCAACAATAAGTGAGAACTCATCACTTTTGGCTTTAGAATTGACCAGATTTCACTTAAAAATAAATAGAATAACATTTGACCTCTTAATGATCCTCTTTTGTAGAATGAATGAAAGCTCTTCATTGACAGCAAGGAGCAAAGGAAAAAAGAGGAAAATTGCTGAGACGTCAAATGTGATTACAGAAACCCTACCCTCAGTGGAAGGGGAGCAGGTCAGCATGCTTGCAGTGCACTTTTATAGTCAGCTTGATGTCCTATATTTAGTTGTTAAGGCTGAATATTTTCCCTGTTCTGCAGGTGCAGATTGAAGTTATAGGTGAAGGGCCCATTGAGGTGGAGGAGTCGGGGCTGGAGGAAGTGGTTGATGCGGCAAAGAATGCTCAAGCTGCATCAGATGATTCTGCTTTGGCTCTTCTTGCTGACATAACTAGCAAATACCAGCAAGGGCAACCAACAATACAGGTGATCAAGAAAGGAGGAATAGAAGAGGTATAAAAGCTGAAATGCACATTTTTTTCTGATTTCTACTGTTAAACTGATACGCATGAAATAATTAACTCAGAGGTTTTGTTTAGTTTTTTTTCTTTCTGTGTTTTTTCTTAGCATGAGGTTGTGTATCATGAGGAAACGGTGACTGCCTCCAAGGTGCTGGAGAATGTCGAGATTGTCGAGGTCCAGATTTCTCAAGCAGACAACATGTTCCGTTGCAACAAGTGTGACCGCAGCTTCAAGCTGTACTACCATCTTAAACAGCACTTGAAAACACACCTGGGCTCGCTGGAGAAGCCCCACGTGTGTAACCACTGTGGTAAAGCTTACACACGAGAGGGTGCCTTGAAGCAGCACATCAGCACATTTCACTTTGATGCTGAGGAACTGTCTCGAAACCAGAAACCCCAAAAGAAAGTGCATGTTTGTGAATACTGCAAGAAGCACTTTGACCACTTCGGACACTTTAAGGAGCACTTGCGAAAGCACACAGGTGAAAATTTCACACTGTTTGAACTCACTTTATTTATAATGAAAAGTACAAAGGTATGGCAACTAAACATAAGTTATCATAGTTGTCCAGTAGATTTGTTTTTGTGTTTCTGACATTGAGACACATGTCTGTCTTTTGTGCCCATTTTTAGGCGAAAAACCTTACGAGTGTCCAGATTGTCATGAGCGATTTGCACGGAATAGCACACTGAAGTGCCATATGGCAGCCTGTCAGAATGGGGCGGGAGCCAAGAAGGGACGGAAGAAACTCTATGAATGCCAGGTACAGTTTGTCCTCAATCAGGGCCATCAGGTTCTCACTGAAGGGATTCGGAAAGTTGTTCTGAAACTCACTGAAAGCACTGAAACTCGTGTCAGTTTTCAAAGTAAAAGTCCCGGTACATACTGTTGTATTGTTGTATTGTAATTTGTTGTATCACTTTACTCCCTATATTACTGTGCTATGATCATGACCTCTTCTTTTGCTCTCCACCTTCTTCAGGTCTGCAGTAGTGTGTTCAACAGCTGGGACCAGTTCAAAGACCACCTTGTGAGCCACACCGGAGTCAAGCCCAACCATTGCACCATGTGTGACATGTGGTTCACCCAGCCGAAAGAGCTGAAGGCACACCTCAAAGAGGTCCATTCCATCGAGGATAAGTTAAACGACGAACTGGTCATTACTGACTCTGCTGCAACCGCTGCTCTCACCATAGCAGCACAGAACATAGAGGGAGCCGAAACTGTCCTGTTGGAAGACGGCATTCAGGTTGAACACGTCACAGTGGAGCCTGTAGATGTGATGGAGATGGAAGAGACTGCCACGGTTGTAATGGAGGATGGAGGGGTGGCAGAGATGTGTGAGGAGGACATGGAAAGATTAAAACAGGCTGGAGTGCAGATCCAGGTTGTACACGTGACCACAACTGAAGTTGACGGGCAGCACGTGGTGAACTCTCAGGTGGAAGTACAGATGGAGGGAGAGATGGTGAATGTTGAGGAAGCAGAACATGCAGCGGTTGTATGAGAATGTGAAAAAGAGTCTTTAATGAACTGCTGGACACTCTTAGTCCCTAACAGCTTTATTCTCCTCCAATGGACATTTTATTTTTGGTACACATCTCTGCATGTGAGAAGCCGCATGTCACCTCAGTACGTCCTGATGTCTGTTATGTTGAATGTCAGTTCCCACCGCCTTCACTGCTATGGACAGAGTTACCATTGTCTTGCTGTAGGTGCTGTTTGCCATCGTATGCCATATTCTCGATGTCGGCAGTCCTCCATCAATTCATTTTTGTGTTTTTCTTCAAATGTTTTTTTTTTTTTTAAACTTTGGTCACGTTCTATGATAAATTGACCCAGATGTTGCTGCAGCTCATATGCTGCAGATTTCTCTTGTTGTTAATAATGATGTTTATTTTATTAACTTTTGGTGGTTTGTAGGGGGAAAATCAGCTATGAAATAAAACCGGTTTCAAGAGTGGGCTAGTTCTCCAGCTTTATACTTAGATCTTGAAGATTAAAAAATTAACACTGTTTTAAAAAACAACAACAACGGAAACACAAAATTAAAAAAGCATTTCAATTAGTGCAATTTCAAAGAGTTCAGTAATACACACCAGGTGTATGGTGCATACATGCATATTGCCTTATATACATCCATTAGCAGGTAAACACAGCTGCTCCTTTATCCAATCAGATTTATCCACCAAGACAAACCCAATAAAGAAATAAACATTAAAATAAAAGGATAATGGAGTTGCATATCTGCTGGATGTGATTGTGCTAGAAAATTCATGGCTCAAGAGTTGGGAGTTCACCTTGTAATCGGAAGGTTGCCGGCTCGAGCCCCGGCTTGGACAGTCTCGGTTGTTGTGTCCTTGGGCAAGACACTTCACCCGTTGCCTGGTGGTGCCAGTGTCCGGCAGCCTCGCCTCTGTCAGTGCGCCCCAGGGCAGCTGTGGCTACAATGTAGCTTACCATCACCAGTGTGTGAATGTGTGTGAATGGGTGGATGACTGGATATGTAAAGCGCTTTGGGGTCCTTGGGGACTAGTAAAGCGCTATATAAATACAGGCCAGGCCATTTACCAATTTATCCTTTTATTTATTTTGTATCATGGATACATACCTGTACCATATATATTGTTTTGGTTTTTTTTAACTTGTACCTTTTGCACAGGTTATCCACAGAGCACAATAAAGATGTTGGTAAGTATTTGTTTTAAGCAAAGAAAGTTACTGCAGTTTCATTGTAGTTTTTGGCCTTTTGAAGTGAAGACTCTAAAACGTCAAATGTTTAGTTTATTTTAATTAAGCATTCGTTTTTAAATGAACGACAACTAGTGTGTCCCGAA